GTTGTTTACAACTTTCGTGCAAACTAAATTTAGACCGTGCAAACTAAATTTAGACCGTACAGTTTATACTGTTTTTCGAAATATAAGATATTCAAGCAAAAGTTCAAATGTTTTAAATACTGTTTTCTCAATGAAAAGACGTCTATTTCGTCTTAACGGATGAAAAATCCATCGATGAAAAGTCCAGAAGGATAATTACACATCTCTTGCACAAATCTAGTCATCTTTCTTCGATTTAATACTAGCTACATGCATCGAGGAAAATTTGGAAAAAAGAAAATAGAAGAATGATAAAAAGAAAAACGTGGCTATGAACACGTAACCCTTTCGCGTGTTATACTACGGCAAGACGAGTAACTTTAATTGCTTACCTTATAGCTTTTTCAATAGCGCAGGGCGTTTTTCAGATAAAGTTTATGAGAAACTCATATATAGTATTCCAATCTGCCTTATCCTATATCAGCTGTATACGCAGACTATGCATGTCTCCAAATTAAACGCAATTTATATTCCAAGCTGAGTGGGGAACATGCGCTGTTAATGAACCATGACGCTGTGAATGTTGATGATATTTTAACGGCTAAATGTGTTGACAAATAATTCATTAAAATCTGGACAAAACTCAATTGTAATTCAACAATGACGATGGACGATTGCTGCTACTAATGAGGATAATAGATAACGATGTTTTCTTAATTTACACTTCTTGAGGTGTATTATTAAAGCATCGCCCATGCGGCAAGTATGAATATACAGACAAAGTTCTAGTTTATCGACTTCTTGTGTTAAGTTTTTTAGTTAGTTCTACTTCGAATCTCGTATGTAAAATTATCTTGGTCGAAACCAAGGAAGTGTTCTATACATTTACGATTGGTCATTCAACACACGATATGTTTCATATTATAAATATTAAATAACTTTAAAAAATTGAAAATCTTACTGTGCTCAATTTAAAACAACTGGATCTATTTAAAATCATCCTTCATTAAAAAGACATTTTGCAGTCTTTATAAGAATAAGAAAGCTTCAGGTTGATGGGCATGCAACATAATATTAGATATTAGATCTTCCAGCTCATTTCAAGCATTCAAGCGTAAAGCCCATGAATTGTTTTTGGATATGTATAAAAATAACTCGTACGATATACAGTGTATGTTAATTCTAATTTGTTATACCTATATCGATATGTATATACTTTATGTAATTATGTATACTGTAGTCTGTAATCTGTAGAAATGTAAATTGTACTGCATGTAAATATATTTGATTATATAGTTAACTTTAGAAGGTCCAGTCGAAGATTAGCGAAAGCTAAACTGGCAGATTTCCTTGTAAATTAACCTTCTTTAAATAAAGTTTTAAGAATAATAATAATAATAATAATAATAATATAGCTGAAAAATTCAAGGAGAACTTGTACATAATCTTCCAACAAATTTCTCATCATATGAAAAAATCTACTGCAAAAACGTTTGGTATAGCTGTTTTCAAAGCTGCCTTTTTTTGTTGGCGTTTGTTTATGAAAAAACAACAGCTATGCCTTAATTGTAAACAGTATAAAAATAGCAATCATATTTAGATTTTTATCAATACCGGGCCGCCTGTTTGTTTTGATATCACTTGATCGTTAAGTTCTTCTGGTAATATTTGATTTGCAACAAAATTCGAACACAGAAAAAGCAATTCTTATACTATCGACATTTCACCATTTTATGCATGTGCGTCTAACACAAAAGCTGAATTGATAGTCTGAAAGATGAAATAAAAGACTCAGGGAAGATCAAATCTTTACACCAAATAGATTTTTTGTTGTCTTTTGTCCTTGTTTTGACTATTGGAGGTGAAAATACCCAAAGATTAATATTCAACGTATAAACGAACTCAGATATGCAAATTACTTCATCCACTTCATTATTTAGAGCTTTGCACCTGCAATACGACAGTGTATTGATTAAGTGGGAATATATAGAGATCAGTTTGATAAATACAGAAACTGGGAGTAAACAATCGTTTCTTCGAAAATGCAAAAAGAACGCGATGAAAGCTTCAGAATGGATAAAACAGGGGATTAAATTATCTAAATTAAGCTTCACGTTTCCGGGAACGGCAGGTTGGAACTTTCTTGGTAAAATTTTCGTTGAACGGTTTCGTTTCACATTTTCTTTCTTGCGTCCAAAGAATAATTACGTATTTCACTTTTAAAAAACCAAGTTCATTTACTCTTTATTGCCTGATACCATAAAATTTTTATTTGCCTGGCGTTTGCCGTTTGAGGTATAACGCGAAGCTTAAACTCTCTATTATACAGAATACAATTATAGACTCTTCTTTCGATGTTAATTAACACAATGCGCACTTGGAAAACCTACTGCTCACGCAAATGCCGTTCTTTCAACTTAAGCTGTTGCTCATAATCTAACTTATTAGTTTTTATATAGTTATGTACATAGTGTTCTAGTCCTTGGGCCAGTTGTTCAAAGGTGGGTTAGCGCTAACCCTGGGTTAAAATTTAACCTGCTGTTTTAGTTTGTGTATTTCTGCACGTCTGTTTATTTAAAAACTTCAGAGAAGTGAACTCCTATCGATCCAGACAAGATCTTTGAAGAGATATTTCCGAATTTATAGAGAAGTTGTCAGGAAGTTTGCTTTGAATTTTAGGTCAACCTAGGGTTAAGCTAACCCAGCTTTGAACAACCGGCCCCTTGTCTTTAATGTACGTCTACTTATTGTATTGTATCAGGTTGGTCTTCACATGGGACTCATGTCCTGTTGAGCATACCTTGAATCATTGTTATATATTTTATAGCACTTTTGTATGATTGTAAAAAAAAAGAACAGAATTAAATTATCATTAATGCAATAGAATAGAAGAGCTGCAGTAAATTATAATTAATCTTCATTTTTGTCAACACTCATTATCATGTAGCCACCGGAATGTCTAATGAGGTTATTTTGATAAATTTGGATGGCATTTTAAAAGTATATTTTATGTTATCTTTATAATCATGGAGTAGGTGATTACATGCACTGAAACATGTGCGAGTGGGGTGATGGGAGTGTGTGTGTGTGGGAGGTGTGATAGGAGTGTCGTGACATACAAAAGTTACAGTGCTTTCACTTCTGTTACTGGGATTCGATTCCTAGGGCGCTTTCCATTTAATGGCCTGACCGGTCAGACCCGAATTGTTTTTCTCTGTATCAATGGAAAGATCTGGTCTATGTTTCTCAAATATCTAGCGAAAATGGACCTCTTTCTAATGTTATCTAAATTTTCCGGTCAGATAGGTCCGAAGTCCAAATGTTTTGTGTTCCATTCAACAATTTGACCGTTGCATGTTGTGGCCGGTCTGGCCGTGTTAATGGAAAGCGTCCCTGGGTGTTAATGGAAAGCGCCCCTGGTATCGTCGTTTAATTCCTTAGTGGTACAACAGTTTAGAACTTACTGAGCTATCCGGTATAAATTAATAACGGTACTTTAGTTTAAGTTTCCTGCAGTAACACTGGATCAATACCTTACTGGACCTCTAGGAAGAACAGTTTAGAACTGATAAGCTATCCAGCATAAATAAAGTTAGTTTAGGTTTCCTGTAATCCATAAATAAAGTTAGTTTAGTTTATAGGTGTCCTGTAATAACTCTGGGCCAATATTACTGATATACTCTTATAATGACCCTTACTGGACCTCTAAGGAAAGCAGTTTATAACTAATAGGAGCTATCTAATATATAAAGCAACTTAATTATAAGTTTAGATTTCACAGAACTGATAGAACAACCCATGCAGTATAAATGAAATTAGTTTCAGTGAAACATTTCAACCAGCTTGACGAAAAACGTGAAATGATTCACGCCAATAAATGAAAACTGGAATAACGATGGCGCTGGGTTTTTGCATTTGATGAGTATGCTAAATAGGGAAAACTTTTTCAATTCATAGAAAAAAAAATAGACGATAAGACTTCTTAATCAACAAAGCCAGATCAAAGACTTTATTACTTTATTAATATGTAAAGCATGTATAGCTGTGGACGCTGATTATGCCGCTGTATCACACAGCACTGATCTTCAATGGCATTACACGCGTCATTTGATCGAAGATAAACCGTGTGTTTGTGCATTGTTGGATATTTCGAGAAGTCGCATCTTCTGGACCGCCACTTCAGTTGAATATATAATTTCAGTTTTTAATTATTAAAGAGGATATTGAAACCTGTATATGTTTGTGCTTTATCTGTAAAATAAGACTAAAATGAAGACATTATGGACCAGTATATTGCTGTATATGTTTTTTTGGGGTTTTTTCTCGAAATTTTGTCAGCCACCTGACGATTCCCTTTTGGATGAAACAGGCTGTTCTGCATGGTAACCCTTCTGAGGTGAAAAACTACATATCTGGTTTATCTATACGATATCAAGCACTATTTAAGTCAAAACCCATACACTCACATGATAATGTTTATATAGGTTTGTGAGCTTGGATCTTGGTACATGATGAGTAAAACTTGTTCTCAAGCTTTATTACTTAAAATACCTCCGAGTCCCCGCTCATAGAGGATATTACACGGCGGTGCGAAGTCCGAAGGCGAAGATGACTTTTTATCTTCGAGTCGTGAAAACAATATTTTACGAACGAGCGCAGCGAGTGAGTACAATATTGTTTTTAACACGAGAAGATAAAAGTCATCTTCAAGCCATCGCCGTAGCTTTTTTTCCAGTACAGTAGCTTTATATAATAGTTATAGTAAAGAGACTTAAGCGTGATACTTAATTACGATGATTTTAATGCAATTCAATAAGATTTTTAGACTTGATGCATGCAACTTAATTTTTTATATATGTAAATATATATAGCGTACTAATTTTGTAAACGCACCATAATTCAATCTATTGCGACGGTGTGTATCTTAAACCATTAATAATAATAATAATAATGTTCTGTTTATTATACAGTCCCAAGCAAAAAATATCTTCACTAGTAAAGATTAAATATGTCACACAAACATATAGTAAATGTTTATATATGTTTTTGTACGTTGGTAAGCTTGGACCTTGGTACATGATGAGTAAAATTTGTTCTCAAGCTTTATTACTCAAAAATACTTCTGAGTCCCCGAGCGGAGATATTATCGATATATAAGGAAGCTAGTCATCGGTGGTTGCACCGTGCTGATGAGCCACAAAAAGAGCGAAACAGCTGTCCACATTTGCCTTTTTAAGTTTAAGAAATACCAAAGCAAGTTTTAAAAAACTTACCTCATGTGTGGTGGACGATAATCACCACAGCATGGCAGCTTTAATTTTTGTACAGTCGTTCTCTACAGCTTGTAAACTCTCCATGGCCGTCGAACGTGCTTCTGTAACTCGAGTTTTGTTGGCTTGAACATCAATCCAGGACTTTTTCTGTGATTTTACAGACAGACCTGAACGCGAAGCAATTTCTTCAAATGAATTAAGAAGATCGTCTAACTGTGTTTCAGAATCTTTGAGCGTTCCATGGGCGCTTGAGCATTTCGTAAGAACGTTCTTGGCCGCAACAGATACCTGTAAAAAACAAACTTTAATCAAAATAAAGCCATGTTTAATTATAAATTGATGATAAAAAAAAATAATATGGACTATTGTTATTAGAAACAAACACATGCAGGTTTAAATCAACTAATCAAGGCATTGGCTAATGAGTAATGTTCTCTTAATGAAGGCCATTTACTAAAACAAATAGCAATCACAGCAGTTTATTAAACCATGCTATATATCAGGCCTCGAATTTCCCTGTAATCAATCGACGGCAATGGCGTTAAAAATTGCCGTAGAACGTAACAGCTGTCTACGGTAATTTTGACAGTTTCCACGGCATTTTTCAAATTACTGTAATAAAACTTTAATTTTATTGTTACTTTGGATTTTTGACAAGCTAAAAACATGTTTACGTATTTCTTTAGTGTTTTTTTTTCGAAGAAAACTGAGACTAAAAGTAAAATAGTGATTTACGCATGATTTGATCAACATCTGAATTCAAGTATCAAAATAGTAATGCAAAGTGAATAGTATAAAAATTGCACTATACGCGGCAAAAAATTGCCGTCGTTGCCGCAATGATCCACGGCATTTTGTTCTCCCTCTACGGCAATTGCCGCGATAAAATTCAAGCCCTGCTATATATACCTACTGTATACTGAACCCCACACTTGAGATACCTTTTTCAGGTAGTTCAGACACAAACCACATGAGTATCTTTTTGTATCTAATACTACCTACACTGGACCACAATTTCCCTAACTTTCCTAGACCCTACGTAATTCCTCCACCTACATACACGATTTTTAGAGGGGATGGACATGAGTGCAGGGGATGCGATGTACTCTTCTGAGAAATGAGAGGCAATGTTCTGTACCAACCTTAGTATGAAAGAGACGCAGTATTTTGTTCACTGGACCTGGAATATCCTCAATCACATCCTCCAGAATGACAAATTTCAAGTAGCCACCATCATCAATACACTGCATGGAAAAATAATAGAGAGACATTAGAGAGCCACCTTAACTCATCCCAAGGTCCCGGATAGGTTTTTTATCACTATATACTGTACATTCCTACAAGGAAATAATTAATTTGTTTACAGTGTAATGAACAGAAATTATTAAGATAAACAGCATCTGACAAACCTTCAAACCACATTTGCCATCATCATTTGTCATCACCTCTTTCAATCCCATGATGCATTCTTCAATACTTGATCTCGTACTTGGAGTCAAGTCAGTGACGCAACAACTTTTTTTGAACATATTTACCACTTTGATGTATTCATGACTGCATTGCTCCACTGTCTTCATCGGTTGCTCACAGAGATTGAAAATATCATCCAACTATAGGGGAATTAGACATCGCCTTTTAGTGGCCAAAACTAAATTGAAGTTATACTTAAGTCACTTGCAGGTAACTGGCTTTAAGTACAGATCCCAATATATGACACTCGTGAGATTAGATTTATGAATTGTTTGTTTGAGAGGAAAGCTGTGGTGATTGCTTGAAAACGGGGTTCTGCAACTTCTGGCATTTGAAAACGGAGTTCTGGCATTTGAAAACGCAGTTGTGGCTTTTGAAAACGGGGTTCTGGCATTTGAAAACCGAGTTTTGGCATTTGAAAACTGAGTTTTGGCATTTGAAAAGGGAGTTTTGGCATTTGAAAAGGGAGTTCTGGCATTTGAAAAGGAGTTCTGGCATTTGAAAACGGAGTTCTGGCATTTGAAAACGGAGTTTTGGCATTTGAAAAAGCTGGGGTGTTTGTTAGGGTCAAACAGAGAGCACTCTTCTCGCATAACGATTAAAGGATAGGGGGAGAAAAAACTAAAAATAAAAACCTCGTTAATCCCAGTTTTCAAGAATGGTAGAAATGTCTCTGAATCATCATTTATTTCTTCTGGCTTCTTGTTCATATTAAAAAGATTCTTCAAGATGACATCTTTATTCGTAAGTTTCATTTTCTTGAGCAATAAATGTCTGACAAGAGTTTGAATTGCAGCATGTATGCTTCCATCACCCTCTTTTGCTGACACAGTCACACTAAATATTTCAATATTGCGGAAAACTAGCAAACACTACAATCTAATCAGTTAAATTTTTGGATCCAATTTAATGATCAGGGGCCAGTTGTATGAAGGCCAGATAGCGCTATCCACCTGGCCTTCATACATTTTACTCATGGAGTGGTAAGTGGTTGTGCTCAATGGGTTAAATTACTTCTTTTACCTTCCAATGAATCCATGGTGTAAGGAAGTCTCTTCTAATGCTTGGATTGATGATGAAGGTTCAGAGCTCATGTTGCTTGAAATACTTTCATCTTTTACATTGACCTAACAAAAATAAAATTGTCAAAGTCTAGGATTACAATGAACATTAGTGATAGTGACGAAGCTATGGACGAACTGAAATGGCCGACTTTACAGAATAGGGGGGGAAACCATGTTTTTAAATTTGTTAAAAAGTGTATTAAGGGTCATTGTCCTCAATTTTTTAAGGATTATTTCACTTTTAATAATGTGATACATAACCGTACGACAAGGCAAAGCAATATGCTTCATTTGCCAAGGGTTCGAACAGAAACTGCAAAACGCTCCTTTTATTACGGTTGTAAGATTTTTAATAGACTTAATTCTTAGTATTTGAATAATGTAGCTTACTAGTTTATAGCAGTAGCAGTAGTTGTAGTATATTTTGTATATTCATGTAATTTTAATAGTACTATAGCTGATCAAATTTACAGGGCCCCTATTGATAGCAGAAGCTTGTCTTCTGAAAGGGTAACCCTGTTGAAATAAAGGTTTTACATTGCATTGCATTGCATTACATTAAATTACAAAGTCAAGGCTAGCAAGCAGCTACCACACGAACCTATGCTTGAAAATCATAATCTATGCTAGAACCTATTACCTGTAGTACTGTATGTATACTTTACATGGGGATGCAATATAGGTAGTATTCTATGATAACTGACTGTATGGACGGACCATTAGAAAAGTGATGGGGGGGGGGGGGGGG